TTGCGAAATTTCACAATCCGATCACTCCTGAAAATATCGAAGCCGTCTAATCCGACCACCTCACCCTCAATATCTGGGTGTAACCAGCTTTCCTGGAGTAAAATGACTCCCACACTTTCGCATTGTTTCTGTTGCACCAGATTCTGGACCTCATCGATTTTTCCCACAAGTGAGCGAATGTTACTCAAACAAATGGACGGAATGGTCATCCTGTTGATAGGACTTCGCCGGAGCGCAACCTGCCAGCCAGCACGATGCTTTTTATGGTGACCTTGACGTTTATTTCTCAGCCGTTTGTAATGATTCCTCTCGGAATGAGAAAACGCTGAAATTCCAAAGTCATTCGCGAAAACACAGAAAGATTTCATAAAGTAAAAGTTGCAGGTCAGCATTTGACCTTGAAAATTGGTGAATTGATGTAAACGTGTACGGTCAATGGTATTCACTGCAAAAAACGTAAATAGTTGTCCAATTTCGAAAAGCACGGCCGAAGTTCAAAGGCACCGCCACAAAGAAAGTGGCTACTTTTTAGCGAATCGTCCCAACCCAGCAACGGAAAAAGAAGATTCATCTAATGATATGGGGTTCTCGGATCATTGGTTTATCCCCTCGTGGGAACGATGGAAGAACATCTAGAAAGTCATCGTAAACCACACCCGAAGAATGCTGCGTTGTCCTTGCTTGCGCAAAGGCTAGAACTGCGATCTCGAAAAATTGACAGTGGGTGATCTCTTGCACCAGGCAGCTGTAGTGAAGTGAGAAAGTAAAAAATCCTGACAGCGACGTTCCTCGGAATCCACCCAATCGATGCTCGGAGTCATTAGGCGATAAGGCTGAGTGTCGAGAGCACTGGCCGTAGCTCACTTTCCTTAAGCATATATCTTGCTTACACCTCATAGGCGTAAGCACGCAACATCGTCTTTTCTTTTGACCGAAGACTTTCATCTATTATCCTATGATTCCTTTCGTTAGTTGACTATTTGTATAAGCGAAAATATGTAATCAAAACTGGGTTCCACGGGAAAGTGGATGAAAAGTCCAACTGGGTGTCACAAAAATCATCGACAACTATACAACCGACCTTAACTTTTTTCATACAAATGGAGTACCAAAGACGGCAAAAGAAAAATCGACTACAACCTGCGTTATCTGCAATAATGATTTCACCTGGACTAGTGATGAAAATTAAACGGTAAAATTTCTTATTCGAAGGAAATAAAAGAACAACGTGTAATTTGGACCAAAATGGAGTTCATCTCATTTTGGTGTGAGTCATGTTGCATTGTGCAACCGATCGAAATAAAGCAGAAAGGAATAATGTACCCACCTCCATCAGTTGTTTCAACTTTGGGTCAGCAATGCGCATATCCTTGAGTGGATCGAGCAATGGCAACACACCGTCTAACTGATCACGCGCTCGATTGATCCCTTCCCAAAGATGACGGCGAATAGACTCGGATAGATGAGAAACCCGACGCATTAGGTCGGCACTTTTACCCGCCTGAAAACCACCACTAGAGTCGGTTAACACACTGCGCACTTTGAGGCAAACACTGGACAGTTCGGCCACACAAGACAGAGGAACAGAGACCACTTGGACAGTGGTACGCTTTTCTGACCCCAAGGTTTTATCATCCAAATCAGGCGCAAAGAATTCTGATTGTGCTGGTTCGACCATGGACAGTGGGACTGATGCTGGTTTAGTGTTACGCTGTCCCGGCATGCCTTCGTTGTCGTGATCGAGCGCAGCGCCTAACGGCAGAGTCTCGAGCAGACAATGCAGCAACAAAGTGCCAGAGGATTCCGATTTCTGTCCGCGGATTGGCGCAGTCTGCGGTTGCTCTACGTGTAGGAGGACTGCCCAGCCAAAGTCGATATCGTCTACTGTGTGCACCTGAAAAGAAAACAGAAAAAGCGTATAGCACTATTTACATGGAAGCACGGGCAACAAGTGTTTGCTTAATATTTGGATCAGAACTGTAACGTTGAAAACTAGATAGCTAATCGGTAAAATAATTTTTATAATAGCCACAGGTAACAGTAAAACAATTATCATAAGATGCAGGATAGTAACTCTCTGACTTGAATCGTACGAATGAAACCAGTCGTTTTAGATATATCTGTAGCAAATAATGAATTGATCACAGAGCCGCTTCTTACCAATTGTATTAGGGATGCACGAGTTACAGTTATCGTAGGCGATGACAAAAAACAGTAGTAATCTGTTTCAACGGGGCTGTTTAAGACCGGTAATATTCATTATCACCGTCGCACTACACTTGAAAATTGCCTAGTAGATAGCGACGGTTGTACACAAAGTCAAACCTCCATCGTATTAACACCACTGGTGAAAAATGAATCTTACTAATGAGAATCTTGACATTTCTTTTCTTGCAAGAAAATGTAAATAAGATAATATAGTTTGTGTCGACTGACTGACAACTTCCTTCTGCTGTCTAATTCACATGGTGGTTCCGCAAATATAGGTTGTTTTGTGAGTCTGTCACTTGAAGGTGATTCAAATCATGGGCGAATGCAGCGCAGGTTAATGACAGGAACCTATATCCGAAACGATTTCCCACTGAATCTGGACAACCTGGACAAACCCGAATCGTCGAATCGTGTCTAACCTTTCAATATTATTAAGCAAGTCGGAAGGATTGAGAAACTATTGTCTACCAGGATATAAGAACAAGCACCGAGGAATCTGGCGTCCGGCTTCCGTACAGTTCAGCTGGCCTACTTACTGTGACTAGCTCCTTTGGAAGGATAAGCCGGTTCCAGACATAATCATGATCATGAAGTTCCTTGGGAGTTTGGTACGAGAAACGTCCCCAGCGTTTTTTTTTATTTTGAGGGTGCACCTCTATCCTTTGCACAAGTAAGTGCGAACTGCAAGGCAGCAAGAAGTAATCCCTCGCCCCGGAGGTGAAGGGGTCAATGACTTTGGTTTTAAAAGGCCAGTCACATCGACCTTTGTCACGACATCATGACAGATCAGCCATCTGTCACCAAATAGATTGCAACAAATGCTGTTGGTTTTGAACTAGTGAAAACTTTTTACCAACTAATTTTAGGATTCATTTCCCCATCGATGTAGATTTTCACTACTATGTGGAGATGGAATCATGCTCAAAGTTCTCGATCTAGACACAGTTGGTTTCAGAACAACTTGGGTGTGTGCGTGCGCAATTTCCTCTTACATTGACCCGTTACTCAATACTCAACCTGTACGATTTCCGTTAATATTTGCAAAAAAATCGCCGGAACATAAGAACAAATAGAACACCATCTAGGATGACCATGATGCGTAAGAACTCACCCGTAGCACTCGACCCGTTTGTAAGAATGGAATAACCGACTTGGCTTTGAGTACAATGGACCATCGTTCACGTTCTGCAGATAACTTGGCATCTTTCAGCTGAACCAGAGAACTCAACTTGTCCAAATCGACATCAACGGGAAATTGAATTGCTTTAATTTCAGCCTCCAAAGCTTTGATGCCTAGAAACGGTGTCAGAGACACAAAAGTAATGACTCCACGTGAGAGGTTAAGGAATATGCTTTCACTTCCCCGAAAGAACAGATGCCACGCAAATGCACAAACGAAGCGTTACCGGCAATATGTCCCAAGGATGAGAAACAAGTATATTTTTACAGGCCATTCCGTGTCGATCGTGGAAAAGATGACAAAGAAACAAACATGACGTAACACATTGCATGTAATTTAAATGGACCTGGAAAAAAGTGAAACTTTGCTCACCACGATGTCTGGAATCATCAAGTTTTTCGGTCATTATTCAAGTGGGTTCTCAAATTTCACTCGGGGAGACTCACGCTAACTATACAGATCACCTTACCAACCTCGCGAGCAAATGAAAGTGAAGCAGAGACAAGACTGTCAAGCTCTGAACAGCTAAATTAATGCTAATACTAGTAAAAGGCGCAGTGGTTTAGTCGCTGGTATCAGTGTGCTTTGAAGCCTACGGTCCGAGGTTCGAGCCCCGCCACCGTAAAAGGATCATGGATCAATAACATGCTAATCACTAAGTAATTGAAAAGTAGACGTTAGGGACGGGTCAGAAACAATGTGAACAGCTTTACGCTGAACACGGTCCAGAAGTATCATCACAGACGATCGGGACCCACCGCCGACATGGTTAAAATATTCCGAAGTACTTGGATCTTGTAATGTGTGGAGTCGAGAAAAGTTAACAAACGCTTCGCTCGAAAAAGGTAGGAAATCTTCCTGAACGCGCGAAGTGCATTGTTAGGTATGGGAGGGAGATAGGGAACGAGGGAATTGAAAGTTTATTGAAACCGTAGATGAGGAACGAAGTGTTTACGAGAAAAAAATGTGGACTGAAAGTAGAGGGATTATCGTTAAGGGATACAAACGTATTACATGCCCTTGTGGCATGAGAACCGATTCACTTTCTAATCCCCCTAGCAGAGATGGCACTCACGTCTGAAATAAGTTAACATCGTACAGCGAAATACAGTGAAGAGAACTTCACTGATAGTGGATAGTGATAGAGAAAGAACAGAAAGTGTCAGAAAAAAGAGAACGATAGGCGTGCTTCAACAACATTCACAATTGCATTTTGCGGCAACGAGGACACGGTGGGAAGGCAGATAGAGTAGACAAATTAAAGGTGATAGTTGCAATGGTCCCATGTTTCAAAGTGGGAGGGAGATGGAATCAGGAAGAGGGAGGGACAGGAAATTGATAGCAGGTCAACGGGGTAGGTATGCTCCTCGGTACGATTGGCGGAGACGGGTAGGAAAGGCGATCAATCTTGACAGGTTATTTACAACGACAAACCCGTCTATCTAGCAGAATGTGCTCATTAAGGGCTGTTGAAAGCATTGAAATCAACTAGGATTGTGGCCACAATGCAAGGATCTAACAGTAAGCTATTTTCAAAAGGCACTGAAGGATCGCATAGAACAATCAAAACTGGTAAGATAACTATCGGCTTTAAAGCGCTGGTCACAATAACTAACATGTGCTATGGGAAACATCAAAATTAGATAAGTGGTACTGGTTTTGGAGGTTCATGGAAATTCGGTAGGAATGACGTCCGTGAAATTGTTCGTCTTCTTATTTGGTGTTTCATCTCTGTCGTTTCGGGCTGTAGGGTTATTTTGCAGTGATGCGCTTGGATTTGGACCGCTGTTTTAGCTGCTATATCAACAGTATGGTCTATTCAGCCTACGGGAACTTTTTTACGCATATATTCATCGTGTGTCAAAGAATCCGGTTACCCCCATGTAGCTTAGCGATTACTCGGTTTTTTCTGACGTCGCATGCAAGCATCCTCGTGGAGCCACCCAGGTGGGATTGAATAACTGGTGTGGACCAAAGGAATTAGGCTGTTCTAAATAAATTAGTCCTTTTACTTCCATTTTTTATTTATTTAATATGCAAATGTATAGTTAACTTTCCGGAAGAGAGCGGCGGCCATACAAAGGCTTTATGGAAAAATACAGAGATGGGAAAGACGAGTAGCGGTGGAGCGGTTCGTACCCGGGACCCCGGGTCACTATTTGATGACCTAAACACTCAGTAGGATCATGGTAGGTTCCTGTGCCAGAAGTGCTAACACTAGAAGAAGCCACTGAATGGTGAATGCACACACACAAACAAACGTTGAACAGAATCAAAAATGAGGAAAGAGATACGTGAAACATAGTTGCGATTAAGACCGCAAACGTTAGTGAAAGCAATCGGAGAGCGTGAGCGAGCGCGAACGTATGAAAGTTTTAGTCATGTAGTGTCAAAATGTGATGAATGGTTTTCGAAGGACCGAAATCCTTAGTCCTTAGATGGATGCTCCAAGGGTAAAATATTTCTGAGGGGTTGGATTAGTTTAAGGAATTAGTATTTGTAAACCTTGTATTGTGAGGGTTGTGTGTGAGTCCTTGGGTGGTTCATAATTGCGCACACTACGGTTAATTATTACAAGTAATAGCGATTACTGCGTTATGTACTTGTCGCTTGTAGGTTTACGTTGACTTATGCGTCGTGATCATAGATGCTTATATGGTTTTTTGATCATTTGAAAGAATTAAAAGAAACTATAAGAAGAGAAAGCTGATTCAGTGAGTCTATAAAGGCAGCAAGACATTTTTTGTCCTACTAAAAATAAGAAACAACCAAACGATTACCAGCCGTCAGTCTGGAAATTTGTACTTACGTTTGTTCAACGGGGGTGCCGAAGATTTAGTTTGGAATTGCAGAAAACTTTTCTCCAACATTAATTCTGGATTGATATCTTCGACACGGAGCAAATTAAGCACCATAGTATTGGTAAGATAGAACGCTGAGTCTAGACGATCAGGCTGTCCAGACAACAGTTGACGAACTTCCGTAGCAGAGATCTGATCGTCTAACATGAGGATCACTGTGCCTCGATCATCTTTACCCCGGCGACCGGCGCGACCAGACATCTGGATATATTCACCGGATGACACCAAACGGAACGACTGTCCATCGAATTTTCGTGTAGCCGTGAACAACACAGTGCGTGCTGGCATATTCAGTCCCATTGCAAACGTTTCAGTAGCATAAAGGACCTAGAATGTATAAGTACAGTCTGATAGAGTGAGTAACGCTTTTCAAAAAACAGAGATGGCACAACGGCTATTTACATGCAGTCTATCGTTGAAAATGTCACTCCTGAGAACGGATTTCGAGTGAAAATTTACAAAACCTAGACCGACGCACGTGGCTGTAATGATCAAGAAACAGCTGACCATAAGCACAGTATGTTATTACGTAGCAAGAAATACATCAGCTAAAATTAACCAAAGGAAAAGTTTAAGCCATAGAATACGGAATGATGAGCTAAACAGGACCGAAAACAGACCAGTGTGGTATTCAGTGAAGCTCCCTTCTGTTACAATGGAGTGGTGAGAATTTACGACCCGGTAAGCACTAGAGACTAGTGCTTACTAGTCCAACATAATCGTACTGTTCTTAAACTTTTCCCTGTTCTGCTAAACCACTCAGGCGTTTAGTGTGAACCCCCTCAAACAACTGCAGTTTAAATTCAACCAGAAGAACTCACCTTAATTAAGCCTTCAGCAAATAAAATTTCTACGATTTCTTTCAGAATGGGCAACAGTCCGCCGTGATGAATGCCTACGCCTCGACGAAGTACGGGGAGCAAAATCTGTACCTGTGGAAGCCGCTTGTCTTCCGCGGATAGACTATCGATGGCGTTTTTGAAAATCAAATCAACTGCAGCTTTTTCTTTATCTGAAATACAGGAACAGTGAGATCGAACAGTGTTGGACAATCATGGACCTCCGGTTGCGAAATAAGTATCGAGACCATACATGCTATATGCCACAACCCGGAAAGGATGTGCTGCATCAGATGACGATTCAGCTATTTATCGTTTTCGAGGGTAAGTGCTCTCGCCACAACGATTAAGACACTATTAAGAGCAGAAACAATGCACTATAATAGTCATCTTTGCAGAATTACGATCTCGTAATGTCATGGGAATATAACCGATAGCTCATGAACATTTCTTAAACTAGTGACTTTATGGAAAATGCAGACGTAAGAAGATGCCCGTTTCAAAGCTGCATGGCGTCCGCCATTGAAGAGAGTATTGTGAACAGAAGATTTAACGCTAAATAACAGAATGCCTGTCCTCTTATCTATGGGGATGGTAACCGGTACAGAAGAGCCCTGATTTCAATCAGCTTAAGAAGAGGAGTGTAAACTGAATTCAATGTAATCTGAGTGTTTAAGTCACCGACTACGAAGTTAAATAAGGTGCGTTTTTAACTATCTTTTTACTTCATTTTTTTAATTATTGAATATACAAATATACAGTCAACTTTTAGGAAGGGATCTGCGGCCATACAAACGCTGCCTGGGGAAATACAGAAATAGGGAAAACGGACGGTGGTGGAGCGGTTTGAACCCGGAACCTCCGGGTCACAATTTGGTGACCTAACCACTGCAAACATGGGGATCGAAGAGAAACAGCAAAACAAATTGGACACTAGTTACAAATCAACTACGATTAGTAAAGAATTCTCCAACATCTAACAGTTTACGCTCTGATTAGCTGACTGCTGCGGTAGTAAACTCAGAAAAATTACGTTATGGCTAGCACAACCGGGCAGTATTCCGCCCACAAACCTATCACGGATTCGGTTCTCGGTTACAAAGACCATTTTGCCATGATTTGTTTGACACATTATCCACACACACGTGAAGCCATGTTACAAATCAAAAGGGCATACAATAAACGAGTTCAACTCGATTGAGACAAATTTCAACTCACCTGTGTTAAAATCCATTTTGTTCATCTGAGTCGCATAGAACTCGCAGTCTACTTTGCTGAAGGAGAATACGATCAACGGTTCCAGATTTTGATCCATCACTAACTTGACCAATTTCGCACAATAAGGTTTGGAACCTATGAAACAATCAAAGTGAAAAAGTGACAGGAGAAAAGACTACCACCAATCTTTCAAGATGCTAATGAGTTAAGCAATTAGGTTTAATAAAAGGTTGCGAGATGAAAGATTTTCGGAATGGTCTAGTGCATCACCGCCCTGCACAAAAACAGAGTCTCCTCAGCTTAAATGAAAAAGATAGTTGCTCACAGAACAAAGAAAACTGCTTTTCAAATCCTTTTATTCCACGCCCGCCAGACTCGGAAACCCCATGATTACGGGGACCTACTGTTCACTCGTGATAACGGGCAACTTAAGTCACGAGACTTGGAGACGCAAATCACATTATATCCCAGTAAAACGGCGCTGTATTCAGCCAGACGGTAGCGAAGCTTCCTACCACTAAAGTCTGGTGGTGGTGGCAGGCTGTGAACATCATACCTCAGAGTCCATGGAACGTCAGTAATGGCGACTTGAACCGCCTGACCACTACCACAACCCTAGTCTTAGTATCACTAGTTCATCCCAATAGGCAATGAAGCCTTTCATCTCTAGGTGGGTGTATGGGGCACAAGCACTACGAATGGTCCCCAGATGGTAATCAAACGTCTGCAAGCTCATCGCACAGCTTTGTGAAAATGTAGGATTAAGGAGAACTGTAACGGTGTAAGTGTTCTGAATTAGTGCTAAACGGTTAGTGTAGTTTGCGTGCGAATTTTATTTCACCAGAAACTACCGGTCCAAGATCATTTTCCCTGAGAACAAAAGCGTAAATTCCGCTTTCGTGTAGATACAACATATTGAGTGAACCAATGAAAACGATAATAAAAAACGGAACTGAATAGAATTTATACGGTTCAGTGACCGATTGGTGGACACACCATTATGAAAGAACGGAAAGAGGCGAACGATTATTGGAATGCGAGCACCTACGTATTGATCCACCCCGGCGGCCCCGCATCTGTGTGTCGCTCGCTGCATTACCAGCAGCTTTGTACAAGGCGCTCATCGCAGTCTGGAAGTTCGGCTCGAGAAACTCACGCTGTAAGGATAAGGTGAGGAAAAACAAAAATCTGGGCTTTGGTTCAAAAGGGGAACGAGTTCTCTTCATGCTTTCGATTAGTGATATAGTCGTTTAATTCAACTGTTAACTCAAGCGTATATACATGCAGCTACGCACTGGTCGGACAACAAGACTGCAGATTTTCGTTTTTTAAGCAGCTAAACTCGATGCACACTACTTTGAAATCTGGACAATCACATTGTGTCCTGTTGAAAAACTGTAAGTGATTCAACTGATTATGCAATAACCTCTTTTCCTTATTTCGATACGGATTGCTGTGTAACAATACAGTGTTGTATACATATATCAAAGTAGTACATGAATGATTCAAGAAAATTTCCCTGGGAACACACGACCGGCTTCACGGTTCTCGCCGCTCATCAGGCATGCATATCTAGTAATCTTTTGTCACTTCATTCATATACTTGTACCTATGAAGTGCATTTCGTCACGATAACCTCATTCGCAACACCGGGTAATTTTGGATGGTCAACTTTTCCATATCCAGTCGTCGTAAACGATGGTGCTCGCGCATTAAACCGCCTTCTACGGATCCGTTGTTTACTAGTATTCCGTATAGCCGTAGTGCTGCTATGTTCATTTCGTTCCGCATTAGTGAACCAAATGGGTAACCCAAAGACAAGGAATGCCCAAAACATTTGTGACTTAAATACGATGGAAATATTTGTGATAACCAACAAAGAGCACTGGACAGCTGTTTCGTCCTGTTTGGGACTCGTCAGCAGTGCGTACTTTTTGTGTCCCTGTCAGGACTCGAACCGTGATCAGTCGGGTCGGGACTTCAAACCCTTACCCCTGAGCTACACGACCGACGGTTATCACCTTGTGCGAATGGCTCAATCAATTTAGAGTATCAAGCTTGGATTAGTCCATTCGATTGTTCAGAGGCACCAGGCACTCTTGATGGTTCTCGGTGTGGGTTTCACTCACTCCTTGGGAGATCGTTAATTGCCCACTGTTTGTATGCATTCAAATGCGATGGAAANTTTCCATCGCATTTGAATGCATACAAACAGTGGGCAATTAACGATCTCCCAAGGAGTGAGTGAAACCCACACCGAGAACCATCAAGAGTGCCTGGTGCCTCTGAACAATCGAATGGGCCAATCCAAGCTTGATACTCTAAATACATTTGTGACCTTGAGCAAAGCCAAGTCTACGCGTTTTTCTCAATCCTTAAAATTCGAAAACGGTGACCAATCAATGGGATTAGCTAACTGGGAATCCGATCACGTACAGAGTGTGATCAATGAGAGAAAATGAGACCAAACGCCAACCAGGGTCTTTGTTTATCATCAATGGAAATCAAATGGCATAATATTTCGAATGGCGATCACCCGAGGCAATGGGAACCAGAGAAGAAAACAATCGCTTCATTTCATGCTTGAAATAAAAGAGGTGAAAGAGATAGGTATGTAATAACGTCGCACAGTTGAACAGGAAATAATGAAACCTCGAACTCCTGTGTCATTTAACTGTCGAAAAGCTGCTCGAATTTCAACGTTCAGGTGATATTTTACTGATGAATGGAAAATTTGAGGTGGATTAGACACAAATGTGAGCAAGTTTGACGTTTGTCAAGGCACAAATTACTGTCACGCCATCACAAAGCTTCTACGGTTCCAAGATATGATAAGTAGGATATGCAATTGAAACAGGAAATTTGGATAGTGTCAAGTATGCAGAAATATTGTCTTAGATCAGCACAACCGAGCCACTGGCTGCATCTTGTGAGAACCGTTGGTTGGGAAATGGTTCACCGTGGTGACTGTGAAGTCATTCCACATACAACGAAAAGAAACCGCTTGCAGGTGAGTGCCGATACCTTTGTAACATTGTTTAAGTTGACCAGAACAGCCAGGTAAGCTATGTTGTTTGAAACGGAATCCGAGGGAGTCACCGAAGTGCGAAATACCACCGATAAAGGACATGTACATGCCCAGGGAAACTCACTTTCTGATTGACCACTAAATGAATCCCATCTCCACCGCAAGGAAACAGATAGTGTTGCAACGGTACTGGTCGGTACTCGGTGTATACGACATGACAGGGCTGTTTATGAAGGAACACAATCCACTCCGCAAACTGACGAGCGTTCGGAATGGTCGCGCTCAGGAAAACCAATCCAACACTGTCAGGGAGGAGAATGA